TGGAGGACAGTTGGAAGATCATTTACCGCTGGAGACAAAGACTTGGATATTGAATGGGAACTTTTGAGATATTGCAGATAACACCTGAGATTTCTCAGCCCCAGTCTTGGGAGGCATCCGACCCCCACTAGGGGCAGGATAAGAACATTGTGAGGGACTCCAAAGATGGTACGCAGAACCCAGAGATCAGAAGAGAACCGTAGATCAGATGCTTAGCATCATACACAGCTAATGGTTTTCACCAATTCTCAGTGAGGAGAAAGTATATTTTCCATGATATGTATGATGAAAAAAAATAACTAGCCTTTTAAAAAGCTAGGTACACTTTATGTGCATTATTTCACTTCATCCACAATATAAGAGTAAGGTATTCTTTCCTATTACAATCCTCAGGAGAAAACTGAAGTTGAGAGATGTTAAGTAACTTCCGCGAGGTAATTCAGTGTCAGGGCATAAGTTAACTGATGAGTAAAACTGGATATAAGGTTTCACTATGTTGGTTCAATCGTTCTCCATTAAGTCTTTTATTGTTTCCTAAAGCTCTAAATTAAAGAACCCTTCTAGGAAAATTTAAAGATACTCTTGTATTGTTACTGATACAGAAGGACTGAAAGGATTCTACCTGTTGATTTCAGTAAAGGTACTGGGTCCAAAGACAGGGAAACAAAATAAGTAGCTTTCTTTAGAGAATACTGCCTTCATAGGACTGACTGTGGTCTGAGTGTGTTACATGTATGTGTGTCTGTACCCACATACACACACAACATGCACACACATACATACATTTAAGTATATATTTGTATTTATATATTTATATTTATATGAATGTCTATATTCATGCATATGGATCTTGCCTTCTTTATGCCTACTATATCATCCAATCAAAATTAAATATAGGATAGTTTTTGTCATTCCAAGGCTGGGATTTCAGGAGCTCTGGACTTAAGGTTTTATATCTTTTAATTTTCTAAGACATAACATTCATTTCAATGTTTAAATTTGACCTTGTGTGCCCTTATAACTCCCACTCATCTATATTATCAAATGGAACAACATCTCATTCTAATGTTAATATCTATTCATGGAAATTAGGTTTTTCATGTAAACATTCCTAACTTAACCTTTCTAATAGAGAGGTAAACCTCATTTAGAAGGGTTTTTCTTTTAACTTGAAGTAATCTGAATGAAAGTATCATTTTAAAGTCTCCCTGACATCCCCTTTCATCTTATATTTCATAAAATGTATCATTAGCGTTCAATAAAGCTGCCAGTGATTTTTTTCATAATGCTTGTGTCTGACACTAACAAAAAAAATATGACTCATCTGCCACAGTGGTTGGATATAATGTCTGAAACCACTGTTTACAAGGTCCATTAGTGTTTACAGCTCTGCCACTTTCCTTCATGGTCTGCAAAGCATTTTAGTTCAGACTGAGTTTTTCCTTCATAGCAACCAATTTTCTATAGGGTGGATATCTCTTCAACTCAGAAACTCCAAAAGGAGTTCTGATGTCTTCCGTGTGAAGGCCAGGTAATACATCAGTGTTGCCGGGCAGCAGAGCCCTGTAGACTGTGATTTGTTTGTGGTGAGAGGGGAGACATGCATCCTGAACTCCAAAGTCAAAATGGTATCACAGATGACAAGGTCTGGTTTCTACTAAACAGTTCGAAAGCTTGTTTTATTTTTTCTATTGTTAAATTGTTAAAGAAACAATTCTTGGTGCCATTGCCTCTTCAGATCCTCCATACCTGCAAACACTTCATGCATGAATATATATGCATATTGGAAAATGTGATTTGGATGGAGTGAGAACTTGGGCTGAAAACATCTATACAACTTATCTATAAAATGAGCAAAATACTTGCTCATTAAAAAAATTACTACACAAGTTGTCAAGCAAAGCCAAGAATACAGTGAATTAAGAAAGATGCCTACAGACATAGCCTTTGCAGGGTCCTGAGAGGGAATATGCCTCCTTAAAGTTCATGCCTGAGGAGTCTCTCTTGCTTTGCCCTGGTCTCATCCCTCACCCTCCCATGAGGCTTCAACCTGCACCTTCATACATACATATTATTTTCATGAAGGGATATTGTCATTTAATAGATTTTTAAAAAATTACTTCAAGTTAAAGTTGCGTTTTTACACCTACATGCATAAACGAGACTTCACATGGTAGCTGGCTCCAACTGAATTTACCTAGGTACTCTGTACTTGACAATTCTGAATTTCTAGATCTTAAAAATATTAGGGTTTCACTGTAGTAGATTATGTGGGTGTCGCTACACCTCTTCTTAATTTAATGGCAAGTGAGGTGTCTGGATGGCAGGAAGTGACTTTGAAACATGACCATTAATTCTAGTGGGATTAAATGTGAGGAAACAGTCGTTTGCTTTTGAATCAATGGCTTCTTGTTTCTTTTTCAGAAGAAGGCTACCAAATCTCAAAATAATTGCCTTTTTCGAAAATTACAATATGACATTTGGAAAAAAAAAAAACTTAAAACACACACAACAAAAACTTAGCTTCTTATTAAAATACATAATACTGTGCTGAAATGCAATAATTTCATATTAATTCTGGATTAAAAGAATCACATATTTTAAAGCAGATTGCATGCTAAATGGAGTGCAACTTGTGAACATATCTGTTATTTAGGATTTTTTCTTTTAATAGAATTCATTTTAGCCTCACCACAGCCAAGTAGTATTAGTAATGGCTCTCTGCCAGCACCTAGAAATAACATCATTCAGTAGAAATGGATGCTGTAATTCTGGTCTTTAAAATTGAAATCTAAGCATACATGTATAGTTTGCTAAACTTATGAAGAATGGTGAATAGGGAGGTGACGCAGGTGAAGAAATAACACTAACATTAACCAACAATAAGCTTCTCCAATGAAATATTTATTTTGAGTGGTTAAAGGTATGCCCCATTTTATGCAGCGATACACTGTTTTATCAAAGACAGACATTACTGGCTTCCCCTGCTATCGAAAAGTAGAGCGTTCCTATGAAACCTTTCGTAAGCCGAAACAGCTTAAAGTGAAGCAGCGAATTGCTTAGGACACATCTTGCTAACGGATGCACAAAATAAATCGAGATGAAGCCCAGATGTTCACAGACACAGTTCAAAGCTATGGAGGCCTGATGCTGAGATGCTGAGTGTAGTTCCTGGGGAAGGAGCTCGGCGGTGCCACTCTTGCTGCTGGGACGCACCCTGCCTCTATAGCAGCTCCCTGCAGAACAGATGCTGAACGCAATTTTCACTTTTCACCTTTTTTCATAAAAATGAAAATCCTTTTTGGATTTCTTTCATTTACTGAAAACAGGTACTAGTGCAGAACTTTCATAAGAATAAAGGTAGAAAGCAGAGGATACCTGTATTTCTTATAAAAATAAAACATATATATATATAAAATCTTCATTATTTTAGATGCCCCAAAGCCTTTATTTTATTCAGCCTCTTCTTTATCTGACAGTTGGTACAGTTTCTCCAAATACCAACCTAGCACATATGTGGAGAGCTGGCACTACATCTTGGGGAACCACATGTAGGCATTTAAAACACATTGAGGGGCTTCCCCGGTGGCGCAGTGGTTGAGAGTCCGCCTGCCGATGCAGGAGACACGGGTTCGTGCCCCGGTCCGGGAAGATCCCACATGCCGTGGAGCGGCTAAGCCCGTGAGCCATGGCCGCTGAGCCTGCGCGTCCGGAGCCTGTGCTTCGCAACGGGAGAGGCCACAACAGTGAGAGGCCCGCGTACCGCAAAAAAAAAACAAAATAAAAAAAATTTTTGAGTACATAAACGTTTAAGGACCTACTGTGTGCCTGTCACAGTACTTCAGGTGATAAATACGAAGATAAACACAGCCTCTATTTTCCGTCTTCAAGGAGCTTAGGGAGAGCCAAACTCCACACAAACCTCTGTGTAGATGCAGAGCTACTGGACGGGGTCTGAGTATGGACCTAGCTGACGTCCCAGTCCACTTGGAAGACTGCTGTGGCTCACATGTGCCGTGTGTACGGCCTGTCCTACATATCTGTTTGTTGGATGCTCATAATAATGCCTGTCTACAAAATAAGAGGGAAAACGGACTTTGATCTCAAGTGATTTTAACACATCCTCTAGCAAGCCTGGTCTTTCACATGAATGAGAAGAAAATGTATTTCCCTCTCTCTATTCTTTGTACCTTCCTATCCTGTCTTTCCCTGCCCTTCCCAGCACCTCACTATTTCACACAATCTCTCAGTGTCCTCCCACTGCCTGTGGCTGGTGAGCTAACAGAGTCTCTACCATATGACCCTCTAGTCTAGAATGGGGCCTTTTTCTGTAAGAGGCCACATGGTAAATACTTTTGGCCTTGTGGGCCACCTAGGTGTGTGTACAGTGTTCTTTGTCTGTTTACAGCCCTTTAAAAATATTCCAATCTTTCTTAGCTTTCTGGGTGGCACAGGTCAGCCAATCCCTAGCGGTTCTTCAGCACCCCAGTAACCTGGAAGGCTTGTTGAAACACACATTGCTGGGCCTCACCCAAGAGTTTCTGATCCAGTGATCTGGGGTGGGATGGGAGAATTTGCTTTTCTAACAAGCTCCCACGTGATGGTAACGCGGCTGGTCTTGAAGCCACACTTTGGAAACTGCTTTAGAGTAACCGTTCTGAATCATGCCAGCCTTTTAGCATCACCCGAGGAACTAAAAAAATCAAAACAAAATGAAAAAGTCCCAAATTATGTCTAGGCCTATCACAGGACATAGGAATAGCTGCTCTATTTTTAAATGGTTGATATATACCCCAGCCCCAACCCTGGTACTTTGTGTGTACACACACACACACACACACGCACACACGCACACCCGAACCCCTCCATTACATCTTCCTGTTTCCTAGGTGATTACGACACGCAGTCAGGACTGAACGCCATTGTTCTATGCCTTGCGGGACTCACCCCTCCCCACCAGGAAATGGTATGTCCTGGGTACTCTTTCCCCAGGAACTCAAAGCTGGGCGTTTATTTAGTCCGCTTGAGAATTTTGCCCAGAACCAGTGATTCTGTTGCACTCTATTTTCAGGTGTGCGTGGAGGGGTGGGTGGGAGATGCCCAAAATAATTTCCGTTGATTGTCTCCAGCAGCTTTATCCTTTGCTATTTCTTTTTCAACCCTACTTCGAAGGTGCTTCCAGGAATGTGCAAGGTCAGGAGTCCAGTACGGCAGCGGCTCCCTCCCACCTTTAAAACCACTGTGTGGGAGGAGAGCCGTAGAAGGGTCCAGAAAAGAAGGAGCAAGCGAAGGGGAGGACGCGGAAGAAGGGCGCAGCAGGTGGGGCAAGAAAGGGAGGCGACCCCAGGAGGCCGAGAGGTACCGGCAACCCTGAAACCCCGCCCTGCTTCCCTGCGCACCGCGCAGCGCGTCCTGGCCGCTCAGGAGAGGTGGAGAGGGGCCGCCTCTGGCCGGCGGCGGCTGGCTCGCTGTCCCCCACCCCACCCCCAGGAGGCCGGGAGTACCAAACCCCAGGCCCAGCTCTGATCGCTGACTGTCCGCTCCCGGGCGAGGGCGGGTCCCCGCGTTCCCGTGGCGCGCGCTGGGCACTGGGAGCGCGCGTCGGGCCGGCGGCGGAGACAGAGGTGCGCCCGGTAGGAGGAGCCGGGGCAAGCGGCCGGGGAAGTGGCGCCGTCGTCCGGAAGCTTCTTCCTGGAAAGCCCCAGCAGATCAGCCCTTCTGCTTTTTCTTGCTTCTCGTTTGCTCCTTGCCTTCCTTCTGGGTTGCACGGGAGGACCTGGGCTTAGCTGATGAGGGACCCCTGGACCAGAAGGAACTGGCGCACACCGAGGGTGTGTGTGTGTGTGTGTGTGTGTGTGCGCGCGCGCGCGCGTGTGTGTGTGGTGTCTGTCGGAATCTGGCTTCACTTGGGTGCTGGGCATACTGGGTCAGAGCCTTTAAATTCAGCAAACCTAGACTGGTCAACTTCTGAGAAAGGCTGGAGTTGCAGTGGGGTCCAGCAGATAAGGAAATGCAGCTTGCCATTTATTCCTCTCAGTCTTGGGCTCACTCTGTGTAACTGGGTTGGCAGGTCTCTCATCAGAAGATGGAAAGTAAACAGAATATTTGGGTTTAAAGTCGCCAGCCTGTGGTCTGTGATGACCCGCCAGATATGACCTTGTCCATGGTTTCTTCCTCTAGAGTTTTATAGTACATGGTTAATCTTTCCTAATGGTACTTATCACACCAAATTTGATTTTTTAAACTGTTCTTTCATCTTTATATACTGAGTGCTTGGACACAGGAGGGACTCACAAAATGTCATGGAGTGACTGTCCTAATGCAGTAATTCTCAAACTTGAGCGGGCATGTCAGAATCGCCTGGAGGTATTGCTAGCAGAGTCTTCAGTCCTACTCTTGGAGTTTCAGATTCTGTAGGTTTGGAGGCCCACAGAATTCTCAGAAGCCTGAGAATCTGCATTTCTGACAAGTTCCCAGGTGTTCTTGTTGCTGATCTGGAGACCACACTTTGAGAACCACTGTTGTAGGGATTGATCCTCAGTCCTCACTGAATATTAGCATTAGATTCATCTTTGGAACTTTAAAACACAAACAAAACAACAAAAAATATGGCTCAGCCCCAGTGCCAGGTATTCTGAATTAACTGGTTTGTCATGACACCGGGCCATTTTGATATGTTTTAAAATCTGCTCTGGATTCATTCTTAGGTGATTCTCATCTGCTGCTAAGGCTGAAACCCAGGCCACAGCACTGGCAAATACCACCATTAGAACCACCCATTTAGAGTAAGACATTTTTCCCCAAGCACACTCACTGCCTCGTTCGGGGATCAGTTTGATTGATTTGCTTATCCTGAAAAATGGGAAATGAGACATATGTAGTCCCACATGGGGAAATACTCTGGAAAGAAGGAGGGTTTGTCTTGCAGGCAGATGATCCAGAGAGAGGATAAAGCAGAGGGAAGGACATTCAAGTAGAGGTGACCTCATTGAGAATGATGCTCTTGGGCTTCCCTGGTGGTGCAGTGGTTGAGAGTCTGCCTGCCGATGCAGGGGACACGGATTCGTGCCCCGGTCCGGGAGGATCCCACATGCCGCGGAGCGGCTAGGCCCATGAGCCATGGCCGCTGAGCCTGTGCGTCCGGAGCCTGTGCTCCGCCACGGGAGAGGCCACAACAGTGAGAGGTCCGCGTACCACACACAAAAAAAAAGAATGATGCTCTCATGTGGGCCTGAACTTCATCCCGCCTGCATCCCCACTCCTCCAGCCTTCTTCTTCCTAATTAGCCAAGAAACCCTCTTTATAACGTTGTCATTTAGTTTTAGCCAAAGGAAGTCATTATTTAGTGCTGGCCTTTTTAGGGAGGTGATCATATTTAAAGGTATGAACACCAGAAAGGATCTTCTGGAATCTAGACATGAACAGAAAAAGAGACTGGTAACTATAGGTGTGAATAAAGGCACATCTACTGAACCCCCTGAGGATCAGAACACAGGAGAGAGAGATCCTGTCAGTCTGGAAGAGACGCCCCTGGCGAGGCACAGGTCATCCAAGTGGGAGGAGAGATTTCATAAACCTCAATTCACACCTACTCTCCAATCTGCGAGTTCTCCTGCTAGTGGAACGAGCTTCTCTACCAATCTGATAGTTGAAATATAGCCTCTCGTTTTCATTTTGATTTGGAATTTTGAATTGCTAGTGAAGCTGAACATATTTATATGCTCACTCTCAATTTTAATTTACTATTCCACGACTTGATTATTCAAATCCTTTGTTTACTTTCTATGGGAATGTTTTTTCATAGTAACGCTTAGAGTTTTATGTGTTTTAAAGACATTGATTTCTTTTGTATACATTTTATATATTTGTCATTTTTCTTTGAATTAAAATTTAGTACTGAAGGTTTAAATGTTTGCACAATCAAATCTATTATTAATTTTTCCTTCTGGAGGTTCTGTTTGTCATTATCAAAAATTCTTTTTCATTTGTTAGTTAAATTAGATAAATATTCACTGTGAAATTTGTATATTTATTTTTCATTTAAGCTTCTAGTTGGTCTGGAAGTAATTTTGCTCTAAGAGATGAGGTAGGGATTGATTTTTGCTGCAGTTTTCAAATGGAGAGTTAGACCCAACACAATTTTTATTAACAACTTGTCTTTTTTCTTGATTTGAGATACCACCTTTATCTGTAATTATACCTAAGTGTATCTCTCTCTATATATATGTTTATATATATATATATTCTGTCTCAAATATCAATCTATCTCTTCTCTGGCCAGTACCTCCCTTTTAAAACTTATTGTAGTTTTTTTTTAAAGAGGATTTTAATATTTCAAAGAGCAAGAACCTCCTTATTTAAAAAAGTTTCTTGTGTATTCTAGCTCATTTATTCTTCCAAATGATATAAGAGTTTGCTTTATTGCCTTCCCCAACCCAAAAATTATAATTATGACAATTTGGAACAGCTAAAGATGTTCAAGAATGTCATTCAGATGGAGGGAACAGTGTCAAGAAAATATCCCATATCATTTTCCCACATTACTGGGAAAATACCGCTCATGGACAGTTATCAACAGGTTCATAAGAGATTTCCTTTAGTTTGCTCAGGAATGGCAAGATAGTGAATATTCGAAGTTGCCTTTTGATTAATAAATTAGTTTAAAAATAATTAACTAACCGAAAAATATGACTAGATAGACTGTAGAATGTCTTAGAATGTATATTATTTGAGATAAGCTAAACTGCAAGGGATGGAGGTTTAAAGAATATGGAAGATGATTTCTTTCACAGGTAATATTTGCAGGTCGATAGGGCAACTATACTCCTCAAAGTTATTTGGTACCCAGGTTTCTGCCAATTTCATGTGGTGCATGGCAATCAAGAGACTGGATTGCTGCAATGTCTGAGTTACATCAAGAAAGAAGGGGAGAGAGTGCGTGGAACAGATAAGCTCAGGGTTTTAAGGCACGGCCTTATTTCATTATGAGACTGAAAAGGCATCCATCACTTCTGTTTATATTCCTTTGCTGAAAGTGTAGTCATGTGGCCACACCTAACGGTGAGTAAATTTAGGATGTACAGTCTTGATTGGGAGGGGACATGCCCGGAACAGCTGTTTAAACACATAGGGGGAGAGAAAGATTAGATCTTGATGGCCAGCCTGCAGTCACAGCTCAGGAAGAAGAGAAGCTTCTGTGCCTAATCCTATTTGAGCTTTCTGAAATGAATCCCACCTTCCCACACAAAGGATGTATCAATATATGAATCTTGATTCATTTAAATGAAGGATGAGTCCTGGCCAGACTGCATCTCCCTTTCCAGCTCTGCTTTTTCTCATTCTTGTTTTCCTGGTTCTTTGGCTTTGCCTTGGATTCTTCTTATATGGAGGCTAGCATTCCCCACTTAGCTCCCAGATAATATGGTAAGATTTGTACTTGGCAGAGAACCTGGTGGCTCCTCTCTCACTTTCCACCCTGGTCATGACGTCCAGGTCTCACTCTCTGGTTTCACATTTGTGAGAGAAGCCAAGAGTTACCCCTCTCCTGTATCTTGTCTCTCCACCGGGCTTGTTGATTTTTTCTTCAACCACACTTTGACAGGAGAGAGGGGCCTGAAATCTGGTGGGGTATTTTTTGATGGTAAATGAAATATTCGGCAACTTGCTATTTAAAAATAAGACAGAGTGAAAAAATGCAATTCAAGCTTGGGGTGTTCAGATATTGGTAACACTATTAGTAACGATGGGAGAAACTGATAGGTAGTTAAATGGAGGCTTGGGTAAGAAAATAAAATAAACACGACATTTGATCTGCTCTGCTAAAACTTTTGTTTCTGTGTTGAAAACTAGCCTATATGTGGTGGGTGGATAGAAAGACATCATTGTAATGCATCAATCACGTAGGTCAGTCCATGGGTGATTTGCCTCAGCAGGTTACTGTTTTACACCATCAAGTGATAGCAGCTGAACACAAATACAGTAACACAGCTGGTGTACAGGAATAGAGTCTGTGCGTGATGTTCCTTACCCTACGCTCTTCCTGTTGACTCAGCGTGGCCACAGGACACGGGCTTTGTCTTGGAAGTTCCTATTTTGCAACCCTCCCCGACATTTGTCCGTTTTGATCTTGTTTACAGCTCAGCAGCCTCAACTCTTCCTTATATCCCCTTCCGCCAATACTTTCACTTAGTATTTCTTTATTTATCAGGAATGTCAATGTCTTTTTATCAGAGCTAGTATTTTTCTCAAAATCATTATTGTTTTTGCTAGCATTCTTGTTGTGGATTGAATTGATAGTGAGTGGTCTGCCCATAATCTCATTTTTTGCATAATCTGTGGTTATTTTTCATGTATGATTT